TCTCTGTTATTCCTTCCAAGGTCATCCACAGAGGACTTTGTTAAATCAATGGAGTGGTGTTAGGAGGTTACCAAAGGTCAAGGACTCAGTAGTTAGACTCTACACCTCCGCCTGGAAGTCCGGCCTTATGTCAGGTGACGTGTTGTATGTACTAGGTAAAGACTTTATAAAGTTTTCTGACCTTGGGCAAGAGCACATGCAGGATAATATATTGGACCTGATAAGACATACAAGGAGGAATGAGCATCATTCATATTAATTACAAAATAAAACCTTGCATTTACGAAAGCTGCTTTCACCTAATCCCAACTTTTGAAATGTTTTCCCCTAAAGGATACCTGCAGCTCTTCAATTCCCTTTGGGGGCAAAGCAAAGAAAAGCAATACTGGTGTGTGTGTGTGTGTGTGTGTGTGTGTGTGTGTGTGTGTGTGTGTGTGTGTGTGTGTGTGTGTGTGTGTGTGTGTGTGTGTGTGTGTGTGTGTGTGTGTGTGTGTGTGTGTGTGTGTGTGTGTGTGTAGTGTGTGTGTAAGAGAGACGGCTACCCAGCTACTGAGCTCTACATGTTGGTCAATGCTCTGGTAAAGAGATAACACTGACACAGATTGGGACCTATGGCTTCCTGCAGGGGCCACATGCACACACTCAAACACACATATCACACGGAGAGAAAAATGATTGGTACAGCTGGAGAGAGAATCTGGAAAATGCCCAAGATTATAGATATGTACTGTTACTTTGCCATGAGTGAGCTGTTTTCAGGATTTTCCAGCGGCACCCTCTCTTTCGAACACAAAGAGCTGTTTCTCTCTCTGCAGGTGCCTCCTCCCTTCTGCCACAGATGGCAAAATACACACAGCGTAGATTTTTGATTTGTGAAATTCATTCAGTTTTACTGTACATGGGCAATTTTAGTTGAACACCTCTCATAGCAATGTCTCAGCAGAGCGCTGAAGCAGAGCATTCATTTTATTTGATCCATTTCACCAATATTTGGTTACCTTGTTAGGTTGACACAAAAGGAAACACATTTCTGTCGAGCATCTCCTTTCTACCAATGTGATCATGCACTCGTAAAATATGCTGAAGTTCTTCTCTGCTAAAACCCAAGACACATTTGTTCTGTTTATATAGTTACAACACAAACACAGAGAGACATGTGTTTGTGTCTAATGAAAAAGGAAAAGATGAAATATTTCTTTGGGTGGCCTTTATTATATTTCTTGATGGGGTTTGTTTGGTGCGGATGCATCCGTTGAGGTTAGTTTCATATCTTTTACCAGTGATCTTATATTACTACGGTGTGACTGCACATCTAAGCAGTTCATAAACTGTGTGACAGCCAAATATAGACATTATTCCACCCAGGTCATATTGCACACGCTGGTATTGTAATCTCTCTTCGTCTCTCTCCCTTATTTAATTAGAATGGGCTCATCTCACTCACCTTATACTGAATGATAACCATGATCAGACAGGAGGGCAGATAGCACATGATATACCACGTAATTAAGGCTGTGGGAAGATAGCGGGCAGTGAATCGATGGCTTCAGTATTAAAACTGGACAGAGTAGCTGCAATTTTTACATTTCAGCTTCAGGGTAAGAGCCGAAAATCTTCCTTTAGTGATGGATTGAGCTAAACTATGAAATCTGGCAGCTCGTGGTGTCATTGAAGCTATTCATTACAGATTCCATAACTCATATTGTCCCTCCACCATTCTCACTTCTACTTTACTGGTTGGGTGGGGAAATAGCAGAATATGTCGGAGCCCTCTTTTGCCATTTTTGTTTTCATCTCTGTCAACAGACGGTTTTAGAAGGTAAGTTGTTTTAACCTAAAGATTTTGTATTCAATCCTGTAAAGGAATCTATTGCTGACTCTTTGTTTTTCTCATTTTTGACCGTCTTATCCTCAACTGTCAGGTAAACATCAGCGCTAATAAAGCATCCTGAGACACTGCTACCTGAGATAATGGACTGCAGTAAACCAGATATAAATACTGTGGCTGGACACCGGGTGTACATCAGCCTCTTTAAAGGAGAACAAGATGAGCACAAACAGCTTTGAAAGCAAGTCTTTTGGGATAAGGCATTTCATTCTACCCAATGATGTGCCCAGCTGTTTTCTATTAGAGATAGATAAGAGGGGTAGAAGACAAAGCTGAAACGTTTAGATGGAGAACACAGTCTTATCTTGTTTAGTGTAATTAAACATCAGAGCTGATCAAAGAGACATGTGTAAGGCTGGGACCAAGGGGCAAAGGGGCTGGGACGCACTGAAGCGCGTTTGACACAAAAGCATTAGGGTTAACAGCAAAGTAAACCATCCTAATGTTATTGTATGCTTGTTTATAGAAAAGTTTTTACGATGTAGTGATTTCCACTACCAAGGTGACCATTTAAGCTTGTGGAAAAGTACTATGATCCATTTTCAGACACAAATATCAAAACAATATTCAGTTTGACAAGCATGCAAATTCATTTGTTACATTTTGTAGCTCAATGTTTAAGAAGTCTGTGTCACGATTGACATTCCTCTGCTCATTTCCGATTTCAGTCCACATATGAATCTGACTCGTGTAGACAGGCTGTCCATCATTACAGAGAGAGAACATAGTGCTGGACTGAACAAAATGTGCTTTTGGGCAGAGCAATCTGCCTTAACGAAAAGTGAATTAGCTAATCTTGAATGAGCATAACTGGCGTGACACTGGCTGTATTGAGGCCAGCCATATGGAAGCACGGTCCAGTGAGTTCTACTTAATAGCACATGCAGGCATACCCGCGTTGACACAAGCTAACAGCAGTCTTTGTGCACTCACACTTACAAAGACAAGTCAGATGAAATATGTGTTCGCATGCCTTGAAATTGTAAAGTTTGCTCTCTGTCTAACTCTTTTAATCTCCCTCTCAGAATGCATTTGTTTCTTGGTTGTCAAGTTTTGGACATACACTTTATTTGTAAGGTACGACAAGCTTACATGAATATATTTGAAGTTAACATAATCCTGATTTGAAAGCACTTGACTAAAATAGGATATTCTCATTCGATTTAAGCTGTTGCATTTGTACCAACAATTTCTTCTTATGCTCTTGACTACAGGAATATATCAAAATCAAATCAACAAATTAGAGTCTGCTTAGTCATTTGTCATTTCATTACATGTGGTATGACTGTTATAACTAAAATATGGTAGCTGTGCCTACCACCATGCCACCTTTGAATTGACTAAACAAAATGGATATGTATTGAAAACCCAACACAGCTTTGATGGATGAGGATATTTTGTGCTGCATTACGTATGCAGAGAGGGTTTCTCCATTCAAAATGGAACTTGTAAGAGCAAATATTGAATTTGTGAAATACTCTTAAACATATGCAAATGAGGAATTGTGGTACAGAAGCGTATTAGATGTATATTGTGATTGATGTTGTACTATCTAAATACATTCATTCCAGGGAGACAGCTGCCTACTGGAAAATGGTAATTATCCAATTAAATATTGATCCATATTCAAGAGTAAAACAGCTGGAAAGAGACAATAAATTAATAACACTAATGTAGGACAGAAAGAAATCTATAGCGGTGATGTTTGGCAAGACCTTCATTTCCAGAACTGACATGAATAAACCATAACTGGCACTGGAAACCTCCCTCGTAACTAGTTAGCTTCTCCTTGCTCAAACTTTTTACCTCTGTCCCTGGTGAGATCTGCTTGCTACAAAGGAGTTAAAATGCTGTCGCCTTAATAGCAAATGTGATCTTCTTTCTCAGCAAAACCTCTGTTCTCCCCACAGGAGGTGGGAGCCACTGAACAGTTGGATAGTGAGAATTCTTGGAAAACCTCTCTTTTCCCCTCGCATTTCCCATCTCCCTCGTACACTCTTCACCACATACCGTATCACTTTATTCTCCCTCTTTCTTTCAGAGTTCATGAACTCCCTGAATGACTGATTTTGAATTGTTGGAGCTCTACGTGAGGGGAAGTGTTGTCATATCAAAGCTGTCAGGTATTCTCTCTTTGTTCTGTGAATTCTGCACACATCGTTTTCTAGACATTGAATATGCAGCCTTTGCAGTCCGGAGCAGTACAACTGCTGTCATTCAGTATACAACAAGGGTATACAGTCATCTGTGTTCGAGGCAATATGTATTACTACAACACACAAACACAACCTGAATACGTGTTAACCTGAAAGAGCTGACAGGTGACCCAATTCTGACAAATACAACAAATTCTACCCTGAGCTGAATTTATTTTTGAGACTGCTGACTTACAATACATTGTTATGAGAGCTGTTCATCGGTTCAATTCATATCAATGACAGTCAAATAAATACTAAGTAAGGAAATGTCTGTGAAGAAGTTGCTGCCGTAACATGGGCGGAAATATCGTTCTGAAAATGAAAGAACTTAAACAAAAAGAAAGGCTTGTTTTACAGGTTAAATGATTTGTACTGTCTTTGCTAACAACAAAGGACCCTGGTTTCACTGAAATAAGGTCGGAAACAACAAGAGGAAAGTAGATGGATCAAACAGAGACGAAAGCTTAAAATCATGTAAGTCTTTGTGATCAGCGCCTGTTCCTGCATCTATTTGAGGTGATTTGAGTACCATCTAAGGATGGTCACATGAGGCGCGTTCACACCAAGTACTTTTCCCACAAAGGTTCCTGAGAACTATAGGTTACTTACGTAACCCCAGTTCTCAGAGTAACATGAAGTGAGATGTCTCACTATGGGATGCGCCTCAACGCGTATGCACCAGAAGCATCAATCTCATTACGCCAATCCTGATTGGCTGGTGATCTTGACGCCAACGTCAGGGAATCCACCAACCCTATAAGTAGCTTGCGCCACGACGCAGGCGTCATTCAAAATAAGCACCTCTTCTCGCTTCGCCTCAGCAAGAAGGGCCGTCAGGTGAGACATCTCACTTCATGTTACTCTGAGAACTG